TTATTTTCCAAAAATGTGCACAATTGCTTTGGCGATGTTCAGTCTTCATTTCTCCACTTGGTAACAGTGCTTAGCATTTAGCTGAGACTTCTTTATGGAAACTCTGCCTCTAGGAGAAGTAGCTAAAAGTCTGAAAACTAATATTTGATGTATCATAAGGGGATAGTTATTAAATTCTATTATTAAATTTAAGTTTTTATGAAACAGAACATCTTCAGTGTGGAAGAGCTACACAGAATTACACTGAATGACTTTAAAGACATTTATTTCAAAGACTGTCATGTATCACACTGGTTAACAGTCACTCTGGATACAATTTTCTTTAAAGAGACCACTTCATTCCACTACAGCCACTTCAACTGCTTCCTCAATGGCTTAGAGAGGTCCAGGGGTTTTAGAGAGTCAGTGGGAAGCCATCCTAGAGATCATCAAAGTCTATCTTCCTCCTTTCTCAGAAAACAAATACCTGATGGTGTTGGTGCTTCCCTTCTCAGAACAGTTGTGTTCCCTGAATCATACACAGTGGATGTTTTATACACAAAATTGTATTCTGATTGCATATACATACTATGCTAATGAATCACCCGCCAATCCATTTGTAGAGTGCTCTATCTGTAGAGTTATAGAAATATCAGTGTTCACTCAAGCAGGGCACATAGGGCACAAGATGATCCATTGGGATGGGAAAATATTAGGATTTATATTCATGGTTATTTTTATTTGAAACTAGGAGAAATACTAAGTTTTACTAGTGTTTGCTACGTGGCCTGACCCCAAAGGCCACTCTGGGTCATGTGTCATGGGTAGTAAGCATGGGAGCATCAAAGTGGTAGTCCATGGCTCTCTCACTGACTTCTTGGCCTTCAGTGTATTACCATGTGTTACAGTTTCCCTGCTAGAGGAGGTTATCAACTCATCAACACGGTTCATTTGGCAAAATCTAGATCCTTAAATGATACGATTTTTACAATACTTTAAAATTGCCTGTATATGTTTCCAGATTTTTTCCCCTAAGCATCTACTAACAAATAGTTATATGTATCAGAAAACAAAAAGAGAGCTGGGCAGAGTGGCTCAAGCCTATAATCCCAGCACTTTGGGAGGTCAAGGTGTACAGATCACTTAAAGCCAGGAGTTCAAGACCAGCCTGGCCAACATGGCAAAATCCCATCTGTATAAAAAATACAAAAATTAGCTGGGCGTGGTAGCATGCGCTTGTAGTCCCAGCTACTTGGGAGGCTGAGGTAAGAGGATTGTTTGAGCCCAGGTGGTTTAGGCTGCAGTGAGCCATGATCACACCACTTCACTCGAGCCTAGGAGTCAGAGTGAGACCTTGTCAAAAAAATAAATAAATAAATAAATAATAAAATAAAAAACCTCAAAAAACAGAAAGAGCTTCATAATCTATATACACCTCTTTTCTTCATATGGTTTGGGCATCTTTTCATGTCACTATATATAGCTCTACTTCATTTCTCCCTATATTATTCCTTTAAATATTTGCATAGAATTCAGCAGTCATCCCTCTCATTACAAGGTTAATTTGTTCCTAAGAAAATTCATAGGGTGAATTTTCATAAATGGAAAATATAATTACTATTTCAACTGATGGTACACAGTTACTGTACAAGTTCAGAAACAAAATACACATGATTCTCAAAGTTATAAAAAAATTTTTAAAACCAGTATAAGAGAGACAAAGGAAACAATGCAAGTGATGCCTGAGTCTGTTACTTAAAACCTGCACCAACTATGTCACTGTAGAGAAGACAGCGTGGAGGCTGCTCCTGAGGCTCAGTATCGGTCTTTGCTAATGCAGTGAAATCCTCACAAGCCAAAGAAAAGAAATTTAATGAAAATGAAACTCCTCCTAAAGTTGAAATCTTGAACTTGCATGGGCATATTTTAGGGTGAGACTCTTTCCCACAATATGGATGCACTATAATTTATGTCCCAACTGTTCATTATGTGGACATTTGGGTTCGTATTAATCTGCCAGGACTCCCATAACAAAATACCACAGACCGAGTGACTTAAACAACAGAAATGTATTTTCTGACAGTTCTAGAACCTGGAAATCTAAGATCAAGGTGTCGGCAGCTTGATTTCTCCTGAGGCCACTTTCCTTGGCTTGCAGATGGCAATCTTTTCAATGTATCCCTGCGTGGTCTTTCCTCCCTGTGTGCACCCTGGGTGTCTCTATTCTTAGAAGGATACTAGTCATATTGGATGAGGTCATTACCCATATGACCTCATTCAACCTTAATTACCTCTTTAAAGGCCTTATCTCCAAATACAGTTGCATTCAAAATCATTAGGAGTTAAGATGAATTTTGGAGTGTGCAATTTGGTCCATAACTGAGTTGTGTCTCATATTTTTCACAGATATTCCTCACCTCACACACTCCTCAATCCACTCTAATCTCATTTCCACCCTCAACGCTGCAATGGATACTTCCCTCCTCTGAATGCCACCTGGTCAATTATGATTTTTGCTCCTGTAAACAACTACAGTGTTCTCCTTCTAATTGGTTCCATGATGTTTATCATCCCCCTGCCGCTGCCCAATCCATTCTCCCATAGACATAGTAAAATGCATTTATAATCTAATCACCCCACTCCTTATCTTGATACTCTTCCTTGACTCCTTGCTTTTAAATTAAGATGCAAACAACTTAGGGTGGTGGACAAGCCCTTGCAGGATCAGCTATTGGTCCACCTCATTCATACCCCAACGGCCCCCTCCAACCCACTTCATTCCAGCCACACTGGCTTGCTTTCATCCCATGAGAAGGGTCAAGTCTTCTCCCACTTCAGGGCATGAATTATGTCCTCTGCCAAGAACAACCTCCTCTTTGTCTGGCAAACACCAGCTCATCCTTCACATCCATTAGAAGTGAGTTTCTCAGTGAAGCTCTCCTTGACCCCCACTTGTCAGGTTGCCATTGTCCCAGGCTCCCACAGAACTCTGGATTTTCTCTGCAGTGGTTATTACACATTGCAGTCACTGGAGCGATTGTTTCACATGCATCTCCACCACCAGACCAGGAGCTTCTAGAGAGCAGGGGCCACATGGAAGATGCTCATTCCTGCATCCCCATGCTCAGCCCAGTTCCTGGCACAAAGTAAGTATTCAATAAATATTTACTGAATAAATAAACTTATTGCATTTGGCTGTTTCCTCCATTTGGAAGGCCCTTTTCATTCTCATCCATCTGGCAAGTTGAGGCCAGCCAGCTCCTATATTGCTCTGATTAAACTGTGAATTACTTTCAAGGCAGGACCTGTGTTCCCAGTGCCTGGTAAAGGCCATGGTGCACACAGTAAGCCTGCCAGTTGAAGCAGACCATTTTTACTTTGCTATGTATCCAGGTCCTACATCACTGCCCTGCTGAAGGTTCTTGAGTCAAGAAGCAGACGAAAAAATTAACAACCTTCTGTCTGATTCACAATGACTATCACTGGTAGTCGTTTTTTGTAGGATTTGTTTACAAATCCTACAAAATAAAATTGACAATGGCTAAGATGGCACCTGTGACGTTTGCTATGAAAAGAACTCAGAAGATTCACATCTTAAAGGTAACATTGGAAATTACAAGAAGCAAAGGAAATCAGATCTGGTTGAAATAATCAATGCAAACTAAAACAAACTGCCCACGTAAAATTTGCTCCTTACTAAACATTTTTAGAGGACTGCCACTGACAGGTTTTTGGACCCACAAAATTTTACCAAAGCAAATGGAATTATGGCAGCCAGGTGTCGTGGCTCATGCCTGTAATCCCAGCACTTTGGGAGGCCAAGGCAGGCAGATCCCTTTAGCCCAGGAGTTCGAGACCAGCCTGGGCAACATAGTGAAAGCCTGTCTCTATAAAATAAAAATAAAAATCAGTCGGACATGGTGGTGCACGCCAGTAGTCCCAGCTAGTTGGGGGGCTAAGATGGGAAGATTTGCTTGAGCCCAAAGGTTGATGCTGCCACTGCACTCCAGCTTGGGTGACAGGGTGAGACCATGTCTCAAAAAGGAGGAAAGAAAAGAAAATCGAACTTGCTAGTGTCAATGCCTTTTAGCCAAAGACCACCAGGACACCTGTCGTTGAACACGTTGGGTTGCATTGAGGGAGAGTACATACCGTTACAGAACTATGGGGGGTATCTTCGAAAAGGGGGGTTATAAAGAACCTATTACTGGATTTGAGCTTTTATGGGTAACTTAAGGAGGGTCTATGAAAGTTGGATTCACCCTAGATTGCATGTGGTCAGGAAGCAGGAGCCAATTCCATGCCTGGGTATCTCAATAAATCTCATCTATAGAAAAGGCAAACTAGAAGAAAGGCAAAACTAGTTAGCAGGGGGCCGGGCGCGGTGGCTCACGCCTATAATCCCAGCACTTTGGGAGGCTGAGGCGGGCGGATCACAAGGTCAGGAGATGGAGATCATCCTGGCTAACACGGTGAAACCCCGTCTCTACTAAAAATACAAAAAATTAGCCGGGCGTGGTGGCGGGCGCCTGTAGTCGCAGCTACTTGGAAGGCTGAGGCAGGAGAATGGCGTTAACCCGGGAGGCGGAGGTTGCAGGGAGCCGAGATCATGCCACTGCACTCCAGCACTCCAGACTGGGTGACAGAGCCAGACGCCGACTCAAAAAAAAAAAAAAAAAAAAAAGGAACTAGCAGACTAGCAGTCACTCATTTTCTCCAAGAAGGGTGTTTGATATTTTGTGAGTGGCACAGTGACCGTGTTTTTGTCTGTGCTTAGACAAAATTTCAAAGTAGATTTGCATTTGCTATGTCTCACTCTATCACGCTCTCTGTAACCATATCTGGGGTTATTTTGTGATGCTATGTACAATAGGAGGATAACATGGTGGACCTACGATGCCAGGCTAGCTTCTGAATGTCGGGGTTGCCTTTTTTTTTCCATTTCAATAAAATGAGCGTGAAATAAGAAATATCACAATGATGGAAACCAAAGTAAAATTCGACATACAAATTTTAAAGAAGTAAAATCTTTATCATGAAACTTACATGTAAAAGAATCAGTGAAGACAATTTCCATAAAATAAAAATGAATATGGATACTATTTACGTTGCATTAAAAAAAACTGATCAAAGAATTGGTTTAACGGCAAAGGCTCTGGAAAATTCTTTGGCAACGGTTCATCACCGTTGATATAATCCCAATTAAAATTATCGGACTCCAGTTTTGGTGCAGATGCAAATTTGCTAGTGTCTTTGAAGAGCAATTTAGTCATATTCATGAAAATTAAAATTGCATTTAGCCTTTGACATAGAAATTTTACTTCTGGAAATTTACAGAGAAAGTTGCACGTGTGCACGTACGTACAAGGATATTACCACACTACTCTAGTATTGTTTGTAATAACAAAAGATTGAAAAAATATTAATGTCCTCCAGTAAGAAACTGATTAAAATTCAGTATGAGACATCCATTGTAACCAAAGCTAGGTGGCCTTGAAAAAGTCAGTGTCGCTCAGCGACAGGGCTCGGCCCACCCTCATGCAAACCCACCCCGCGGTGTGAGGCCAGGAGGGTGCAGTCACGAGGGGCCCAGTAAGTGTGTCCAATGCTTGAAGCAGCCCCCACCCTGAGTCTGGCCCTGAGTCTGGGTCGCGCCCTGGTGTATCTCTTTTGAAGTCTACTACCCACAGCCTGGGGGAGGAAAGTGGCGGCGAGGAGCAACTGCACGCGACTCGGGACCTTGCCCTTCTCCGCGGCCAGCGTCACAATGGCAACCGCGGGCAGCCGGGCACTGACGGCTGGAAAATGAGGACCCGAGCCAGGTTACAGCCTTGGACGTCTAGCAGCCCAGGGAGAGTCTCTGCGTCCTCCAGCCCCCGCCTCCCTTCATGTCGGAGATCCTAAGCCCGCAGCCCTTCCTGTCGGAGATCCTAAGCCAGCAGCGAAGTCTGCAAGGAGCTTTCCCCGACGCCCACGAGACCGGAAGTGCCTGGGCCCAGGTGGAGGAAGGACCCGCGTGGCCTCCTCTGCGCCCTCCCTGGCGTCCGCGCCGGTTCCGGCGCTTCTCCCGCGTCCTTCACCATGGCAACTTCTGGCGTTCGGAGCGTGGGCCGCGAGCCAGGTGGGTGGGGAGCCGGTGGGCTCTACCCGCCAGCCCACGAGAAGTGACGACGGCGATGGGAGGCCGCAGGGACCTGAGGGCGTAGAGAGGAGTGCAGAAAGTGCCGGGCGGCTGCTCCCGTTTCCTCTGCGGGGTTTCTGGGTGTTCGTGGCTGGGAGCTGCCGGAGGCCTGGCGGCCGCGCGCCTCTGCCCCGGGCAAGCTCTCCCTGCTGGGCCCGGGCGGCGGCAGGGGGCAGTAGCGGCCCGCGATGCTCGGAGGCTCCCTGGCACGGAGCTCCCGGGCTGGGGCACCTGGATCTGGAGAAGCCGAGGGCCTTGGTCACACTCAGAGCTGACGTCCAGTACGGCCCTTGCTGAGAACTCGAGTGAACAGATCTCTACCCAGCCCCCGCCCCACGCGCGCCCAACCTGGGTCAGCTCGCCCTGCCCTCAGCCACGCAGCTGGTGGCTAAGCGCGGGCTCCGGGTTCGGGCTGCCTTGAGCTCTGTGGCTCCCTCTGAAAGTGGTGATAATGATAGCAGGTATCTTGGGGTTGCTTTGAGTATTAAACCAGTTAATTGTACTTAGTACAATTTCTGGACTTAGTTTCTGGCACATGGTAAGTGCTCATGGGCTTGCCTGGGGCAAATTGGTTGACCTCTCAACTTTGCCTCGTTAAAAAGTGGGGACAATAATAGTACCCACTTAATATCGTTATAATAATTATAGGAGTTAATATTTGTAAAGTCCCTTGCCTTCAAGAACTTAGGACATTTTTAAAAAAATTGTAAAGCCCCTAGAATGGTTCCAGGCACATAGTAAGCTGCCTCTATTATTACCACAGTCATGTTGTTATCACTATGTTAAATAAAATTTATAAGAGGCTATTGGTTTGGACTGAGCCCCTGCACTATGCCCAACAGATCAACCCAATATGGAGTCACTTATGCTGAAGTTCCATGCCACCAGGCTGAAACTAAATTGCTTATTTGACTTTCCTAGAAATTAGAAGAGAGAGACAGTTAATATAGCCAAATCCCCAAATAAACCAGCTTTGGCTGGCATGATGAGGAAGTCCTCTCTGCTTTAACCTTTACAAGGAAAATAACTTTGAAACAACCAATTCGCTTTTTGTTCTGTGTTTCTGCTTTCTTCAGCCCTTTTCTATCTATAAAGCCAGCCTCCTCAGCTCAGCTAATCAGAGCACTCATTCTATTTTATAGAACGAGGCATTGGCTGATTCTAGAATGCAAATATAAGCCAATTAAGATTTTAAACTAAACTTCTTGTAATTTTTGTCTTTTGACAACTATTATCATCTGTTTGCATTGTGAGGTTGGAAAGGATTGCATTTGTCCTGCTACAAGGACTTTTAGCCTCTGGCTGGATTACAGAACCATTGCCTGCATTTCTCCTTTTATTTCTCTAAGGTTTTCAGCTTTTTACATGGTTCATACAGAAGAGGCAAGATCGTGTCCTTAAAAGATCACTGGGCTGTGAGTCAGGTGGACTTTGGTCTTGGTTATGCTACTTGGGCAGGTCACTGTTTCCTCATCCATCTGTAAGCCTCTTTCAACAAAGGGTAGCTGGTATTATCTATTATGCATGTTTAGCCTTTCCAGTAAGGTAATGTATTTAGTAAAAATAAATTAGCATCTGTCAGCAACTCTCCAGGGTAGTAAGAGAAGGTGGCAGGTGCTTTGAGGAAGTTACAGAAGAGAAGCTATGGGATTCTGAGAACGGAGAGTAAGCTTCTTAATTTATACTTTAATTTCTAATAAGTAGAAATGTCAAGATGTACGGGGTCAAATGAGAATGATTCTACCCCTCCACTCCACTAAGAAGTCTGGGAAAGTGAATTTTCCCCTCGGAGGCTTTCTTATTTCTCAGTTGGAAATAAGATGTATGTTGGCAGCTACATTCATTATTGCTTGCAGTGTAATCCGGCCCCTGTTATGGATTCCCAGACTTGGGCTCCCGGACTGACTTCTTCCATCAGCAGGAGCAAGAATATTGTATTCACCATATTCTTCTCTCGCTCTCTCTTTTTTTTTTTTTTTAGACAGTCACACTCTGTCATCCAGGCTGGAGTACAGTGGCGCAATCTTGGCTTACTTCAACCTGCAACCTCTGCCTCCCTGGCTCAAGCAACTCTTGTGCCTAAGCTTCCCAAGTAGTTACAGGCATGAGCCACCATGACCGGCTAAGTTTTTGTATTTTTTAGTAGAGACAGGGTTTCTCCATGTTGGCCAGGCTGGTCTTGAACTCCTAATCTCAAATCTGCCCATCTTGGCTGCTTCCCAAAGTGCTGGGATTACAGGTGTGAGCCACTGCGCCTGGCCCTTTGTTTTTTGTTTGTTTGTTTGTTTTTGAGACAGAGTCTCACCCTGTTGTCCAGACTGGTGTTCAATGGCACAGTCACAGCTCACTGCAGCCTCGTCCTCTAGAGCTCAAGTGATCCTTTCACCTCAACCTCCCTAGTAGCTGGGACCACAGGCACACACAACCATGCCCAGCTAATTATATTTTCATTTTTTGTAGGAACAGGTGAGGTGTCGCTATGTAACCCAGGCTGGTCTTGAACTCCTGGGCTCAAGGGATCTTCCCTCCTTGGCTTCCCAAAGTGCTGGGATTATAGACATAAACCGCCGCACCTGGCCTTCTTTTTGTTTTCAGAAACCCTCCCTTCACTTATCAGAGGGTGAAGTCCCTATTTATCCTACTGAGGTTAATGCACTAGGTTAGAGTAAGCAGTGTTTCCTAGCAGTTATGGGCATTGGCTTTTATAGTCAGGGGATTTGAACCCTGCTGTGATTCTAAATCAGTGTCTGAGCCTCAGTTTCTTCATCTTCAAAACAAGGACAGTAATATCAAGGGCTGTTGTGATAATAGTGTGAGATCTTGCACTTAATCCAGCATGGCCGGGTGCAATGGCTCACGCCTGTAATCCTAGCACTTTGGGAGGCCGAGGCAGGCAGATCACAAGGTCAGGAGTTCGAGACCAGCCTGACCAACATAATGAAACCCCATCTCTCCTAAAAATACAAAAATTACCTGGGCGTGGTGGCACAGATTTGTAATTCCAGTTACTCTGGAGTCTGAGGCAGGAGAATCGCTTGAACCCAGGAGGCAGATGTTGCAGTGAGCTGAGATTGCGCCATTGCACTCTAGCCTGCATGACAGAGAGAGACTCCAACTCAAAAACAAAAAATAAAAAACAAATAAAAAAAAGAATCCAGCGGTACTTGCTAGGACAAGTGCTCAAAAAAATGTTGGCTGCTCTTTTTAAAAACATATGTAAATAAATACGGGGTCTTACTGTGTTGCCGAGGCATGTCTCAAACTCCTGGCCTTAAGCCATCCTCCTGCCCCGGCCTTCCAAAGTGCTGGGATTACAGGCATGTGCCACCACACCCAGCTGGCTGCTCTTTTTTTAGCACTGTCATCATAGTTATTACATTGTTAGTTTACAAAAGGCAGGGTAATCTTTTGTAGTCTTTTTCTTCTCTTTGTTGCGTGGCAGATCTCTTTATTGCCAGCAAATGTTTGTTGAATGAATGAGTGAATCCACCCAGGAAGCTCTAGTAGCAGTGAATTTCACATTGCCCTGACTAATAGCAGCTCTGCGCCAGAAACCATATTCAGTCCCATTACCTTGTTGAATCCTCAAGTTTGATGACTTTGTCTAGCCTTCCAATTTGGCTCCTGAAGCATTGGTGTCATTGATTCACAGTCCAGAAGCTGGGAGTAATGTCTGCTGCAGATTTCTGTATTGTTTCCATAATGAAGCTGACAGCAGCATACTATCTGTAGCCTGTGCTAAGATAGGAGTTAGGTGTCATGCTGACGTCAGACACTGTGCTCTCATTTCCCCAAGGATGAGCTGGCTTCCTTGATGCAGTTTCCTCATCTCATTAGTGCATTGCTTGACATTACACTTCTGAAACAGCAGGACTCAATCAGAGTTTAGCATTGCAACTCTATCAGGGTGATAATGTCACAGGGCATCAAGTTCCTTCTCTTGTCCCTTTGTGGCCACTTTCCGAGAAGTGTAGCAGCTGTAGGGGAAGGACAGACCAGGAAAGGTCCTTTTGCTTTTTCTGATCCACTAACTGTATTTGAGTTTTGGGTTAGAGAAGCCTTTAGAAACCTCTAATTTAGTACTTTTTAAACCCTGTTCTGTGGGGGTTTTAGAATTCATAGGACCCCCTCGTCCTGCCAGGAGCTGCTCCTGGGGAAAAGACCTACCTGAACAGGTAGAACTTGGGCATCCTACCTCTGGTTCAACCAAAGTGAGCCCTGTGACATCTCTGGGACACTGAGGGACAAAGTTATTTTTATTCCTCAGTAGAGACTCTGAAAGCCAGTCAGCACCATTGTCGGACTTTGAGCAAGCTATTTATGCATTTGCAGTATTTATTCATTCATTCAGCACATTCTCAGACACTCTACTAGGGGGCTGGCGATAGAGGAAGAAACAAAGATCCTGCCATCAGAGAGCTTACATTCTGGTAGGAGGAGACAGACAGTAAAATATGTGCCATGCAGGGCCTCTCCAAGGATGTAGAACGAACAAGAGGGCTGAAGGAAGTGAGGAGCTGATAAATGGTGGAAGAATGTTCTAAGCAGAGGAAATAGCTGTGCAGAGTCTCTGAGGCAGGATGCCAGAGCAGCTGGAGAGGAGGGAATGATAGAGCCAGTGGAGGTAGACAAGAGGTGGGGGTCTAGATTACCAGGACCTTTGAGCCATGGAAAGGAATTTAGATTTTACTCAGAAGGAGATGTGAGGACATTGGAGAGGTGAAAGCAGAGGAATGACAGGACTTGATTAATAGGGCCATTCCGGCTACTGGGTAGAGAATAGAACTTAGGGAGTGAGAGTGGAAGCAAAGACCAAATAGGCTTTTAGAAGGGTCCAGGTGTGAGGTGACAATAGCTTGGACTGGCATAGTAAAGAAAGGTGAGAAGTACCTGCACTTGGGATGCATTTTGAAGGCAGACCTTATGCGTTCTGCTAATGAGTTCCATATTATTGAGTGGGAGAGAAAGAGGAATCGACAATGACCCCAAGGCTTGGGCCTGTGCACCTGGATGAAGGGCACTGTTTACTGAGACAGTAACCACAGACATTTGTCACAGTCACAGTTTGCCAATTCAACTGCTTTTCATGATGGAGGAGGAACCACTCTAGGTTGGTGTCAGAAGGTCTGAGACCAGGAGAGTGTTTTAGCCGAGGTTTTCTCGTAACAGTCACTTGCCGGCAGTCACGTAAGTTGGATCTAGAACTAGAGGAAATGATCCAAGGCTGCATAGTGCCTATTAGCATCCACAAAAATCTCATTTCTGTTTGGCTGCACTTCAGGTTCAGGCAGCTGGTGTATTTTGATGTCTTGGTGGTTCCATGCTGTGAGAAGAGTTTGTGTCATGCAAATTAGCAGCCTTTTCTTTTCTCCCAGGAGCACCCTTCAAGGAGAATTAGACAAATTGGAGTCTACTCGGAAGAGGCTGTTGGGAATGGCCCTGACACCACATCCTGAGCAGGGATGGCTGATGGAATGGGGAGAAGACTCAGGTGGGGCTTGAGTGTGTCCTCTGATGACTGAAGGGCCTTGGGAGCGAGCATCCTTCCTGCTACTGTGTGTTCGCTGGTTCCAATGATACATAATTTGTGCTTTTCGTAATTCAAGTATTACCTCGTAGATCTTGATGGTGCTGACTACTTCCCCGTGGAGGCGTATGACCTGGAGATGAGGTCAGCATATCCCACCACCACAGTTCCCCAGACCAAAAACTGAAACGGCCTAGGGGGTTTCAGAAGTTTTAAAACTGGGCCTCTTGGGTCTTGACCTACAAGGAGATGAGATAGTTCCCGTGTGGGCATGAATGAGGGTGGCAGCCTTGAGCGAGCTGCAGGAGTCCAGGGGCAAGAGCCTAGAGGAGGCACCTAGGAAGCTTGTGGCAGCCACAGAGGCTGTATGTGTGTTGGCCTAGGGCAGAGGCCTGTCCTATGGAGACTTATCTGTTCTGTCATTTAGGATTATGTGCAGCTGCAAGAAACAGAATACCACTTAAGGTGCCTTCAGAAAAGCAGGGCTTTATTTTTCTCACATGACAAGAGATGTGAATTGGTCTTGGTTCAGTTGCTAAACGTTGCCAGCAAGAATTCAGGCCTCACATCTCCCCTCCCTTGGCAGGCTGGCTTTTGTTCTCATGGCCACGAATTGCCTGCCTCGGCTCTGGGCATTAAGCCTTCATTCAGGACAGGAAGAAATGGGAGAGGGAGGAAGGGGCAATGCCAGCTGGGTCTTTTTTTTTTTTTTTTTTTTTAACATTTTTGTTCTCTTCTAAGACTTTATTTAAGTAGCTTTAGATTTTTTTTTTTCTTAGATTCACAACAAAATTGAGTGGAAGGTACAGAGATTTCTCATACACCTCCTACCCACCCTTCCACACCCACCGTCTCTTCATTATCAACATCCCTGAAGCCAGTGGTGCATTTGTTACAGCTGATGGACCTGTATTGACACATCACAGTCACGCCACGTTCACAGTTTACATTAGGGCTCACTCTTGGTGTTGTACATTCTGTGGGTTTGGATAAACCTGTGATGACATACATTCACCGTTATAGTCTCATAGTCTCATACAGAGTAGTTTCACTGCCCTAAAAATCCTCTTCAATGCTTCCCCTATTCATCCCTCCCTTTCCCCAGCCACTGGCAACCACTGATCTTTTCACTGTCTCCATAGTTTTGCCTTTTCCAGAATGTCATATAATGGAATCATGTAGTTGGCAGCCTTTTCTAATTGTTTTTTCTTCATTTAGTAATATGCATATTGTAATATGCAATACTTATCAAGCCATGTATTTCTATGTCTTAATAACTCATTTCTTGTTTGTTGGGCCTTTTTTTTTATTTTTTGAGATGAAGTCTCACTCTTGTTGCCCAGGCTGGAGTGCAATGGCACAATCTTGGCTCACTGCAAACTCTGCCTCCCGAGTTCAAGCGATTCTCCAGCCTCAGTCTCTGAGTAGCTGGGACTACAGGCACACGCCGCCATGTACAGCTAATTTTTCGTATTTTGGTAGAGACAGGATTTCACCGTGTTGTCCAGGCTGATCTCAAACTTCTGACCTTGTGATCCGCCCGCCTTGGTCTCCCAAAGTGCTGGGATTATAGGCATGAGCCACGGCACCTGGCCGATAACTTATTTCTTTTGAGCACTAAATAATATTCCACTGTCTAGATGTACCATAGTTTATTCAGTTACCTACTGAAGGACATCTTAGTTGCTTCCACGTTTTGACAATTATGAATAAAGCTGATGTAAACATTTGTGTGCAGGTTTTTGTATGGACATACGTTTTCAGTTCTTTCGGGTAAATACCAAGGAGTGAGAATGTAAGAGTATGTTTAGTTTTGTTAGAAACTGCCAGACTGTGTTCCAAAATAACTGTGCCACTTTGCATTCCCACCAGCAATGAATGGGAGTGTCTGTTGCTCCACATCCTCACCTGTGTTTGGTGTCATCAGTGTGCCAGATTTTACTCATTCTAATGGGTGTATTGTGTCGGTCTTTTTTTAAATCGGGAAAGCCAAAACCTTCCCCGAATCCCATCCAAATCCCCACCCCACCAGCCTTCCACTTGGCCAGAACTATGTCACTGTGACTATCCCTAACTGAAAGAGAGATGGGAAAATGAGTATTTAGTTTTGTAACCCCTCTGGGAGAGGCAGACGGGAGAAAGGGGGAAGAGCCCCCTAGGGCAACACTGTCCAATAGAAATAGAGCCACATACATAATTTTTGATGTTCTAGTAGCCACATGTTTTAAAAGGTAAAAATAGAAACCTAGGTGAATCAATGTTTAAACATTTATTTTATCTAACCCAATATATCCAAAATCATTTCAGCATGTAATCCATATAAAAATTATTATTTTTTTTTTTTGAGATGGAGTCTCGCTCTGTCGCCCAGGCTGGAGTGCAGTGGCACGATCTTGGCTCACTGCAAGCTCTGCCTCCTGGGTTCACGCCATTCTCCTGCCTCAGCCTCCTGAGTAACTGCAACTACAGGCGCCTGCCACCACGCCTGGCTAATTTTTTGTATTTTTAGTAGAGACGGGGTTTCACCATGTTAGCCAGGATAGTCTCGATCTTCTGACCTCGTGATCTGCCCGCCTTGGCCTCCCAAAGTGCTGGGATTACAGGCGTGAGCCACCGTGCCCGGCCTACACTCTTTTTTAAAATAAAATTCTCAGGCCAGGTGCAGTGGCTCATGCCTGTAATTTCAGCACTTCAGGAAGCCGAAGGGGGCAGATCACCTGAGAAGTCAGGAGTTTGAGACCAGCCTCACCAACATGGTGAAACCCTGTCTCTACTAAAAATACAAAAATTAGCTGAGCATGGTGGCGGGTATCTGTAATCCCAGCTACTTGGGCGGCTGAGGCAGGAGAATTGCTTGAACCAGGGAGGCAGAGGTTGCAGTGAGCTGAGATTGTGCCATTGTACTCCAGGCTGGGCAACAGAGCAAGACTCCATCTCAAAAATCAATCAATAAATAAAGTTTTCAAAATCTGATGCATATGTTGCACATACAGCACATCTCAGTTTGGACCAGCTACATTTCGAGTGCTCAGTAGCCACACATGACTAATGGCTGCCATATTAGACAGCACAGGGGTAGATGGCATGTTGGGTGAGCAAGTCAATTCTTGCCATATCCTTTTTGTTGCTGCCAGTGTTGTCTCTAATTATTTCCTTTTCATTCTCCCAATTGATTTCAGAAAATGCCATCCTGTCTTAACCTGCTGAAGAGAAAGAAGAAAGGGGACTGTGGGTGTATTCGGGCTAAAGTAATAATTAGGGAGACAGGAGCATTCTGGGGCCAGGCAAGGTGAGAGCAGTGGAATTCAAATTTTCAGAGCCCCAGGGGACTCATGAAGGATGGATGGGAGGAAAAGAACGGCAAGAGGTAGGCCAATTGCTGTCATGAGGAAGAGTAAAATTCTTAAGTCAAAATCAAAATAAAGGCTGGGTGTGGTGGCTCATGCCTGTAATTCTAGCACTTTGGGAGGCCCAGGTAGGAGGATCACTTGAGCCCAGGAGTTTGAATCCAGCCTGGGCAACAAAGTGAGATCCCCATCTCTACAAAAAAGTAAAGATTAGCCGGGCGTTGTAGCACACACTTGTAGTCCCAGCTACTCAGGAGGCTAAGGCTAGAGGATTGCTTGAGCCTAGGAGGTTGAGGCTGCAGTGAGCCATGATCAAGCCGCTGCACTCTAGCCTGGACAACAGAGTGAGGCTCTGTCTCAGAAAAGAAAAAACAACAACAACAAAAGGAAAACTGTGTTGTTCTCTGATTACAGAAGTGAAACTTTTATAAAATATGAGAAAAACAAAAGCACTGAATAAATATCTCTCTAATGGTAGTGATAGTCCCTGTTAATATATATTAATTGTATATTTTATTAATTTTGCTTATACTTGTATATATAACACCTGTTTTTTTTTTACTTTAAAATATATTATGAACCTTTCCCCGTGTCATTAAGTACTCTTTTTTTTTTTTTTTTTTTTTGAGACAGGGTCTCACTCTGTCACTTAGGCTGGAGTGTAGTGGGACAGTTACAGCTCACCGCAGCCTTGACCTCCCAGGCTCAAGTGATTCTCCCACCTCAGCCTCCCAAATAGCTGCGACCACAGGCATGTGCCACCATACACAGAGAATTTTTGTATTTCTTCTAGAGATGGGGTTTCACCATCTGGTCTTAAACTCCTGGGCTCAAGCAATCCTGCCTTGGCCTCCCAAAGTGCTGGGATTACAGGCATGAGGCACTGTGCCTTGCCTTTAAGTATTCTTTTAAAATAGGATTTGTAATTATTGTGATTAGATGGCATTTCATCCTATGGGTATGCTGTAATTTAATTCAACCAGTCCTCTTTTGTTGGACATTTAGGTTTAATCAAGGTTTGTCTGTGATAGGCAGCGTTACTATAAACATCTGTAATCAGTCTTAGTGCACATTTCTGATTTGCTGGTTGAGGGAGTATAAATATTTTAGGGCAATTTATACATATTTTCATCTTCTGTCTTTCTTTCTTTTTTTTTTTCTTTTTTTGAGACAGAGTCTCACTCTGTTGCCCAGGCAACAGAGTGAGTGTAGTGGCATGATCTCTACTCGCTGCAACCTCTGCCTCTCAGTTTCAAGTGATTCTCCTGTCTCAGCCTTCTGAGTAGCTGAGACTACAGTTGTGTACCACCATACCCAGCTAATTTTTGTATTTTTAGTAGAGACGGGGTTTCACCACGTTGGCCAGGCTGGTCTCAAACTCCTGACTTGAGGTGATCCGCCCACCTCGGCCTCCCAAAGTGCTGGGATTACAGGTGTGAACCACCACACCCGGCCCATATTGTCATCTTCTTGAGACTGTACTAATTGGAACTACCTAACAACGTAGGAAACATTTTTCTCATTTTATAACAAAAAACTTCCTAACAACCCAAGAGACAATGGGAGGCAGCAAGCTTTCTGTCATGAGGCCTGCTGGAGTATGGGCTAAAGCTATGG